CCCTTCAAGCAATCTCTGTGCACCTTGTCTTAGTAACTTTCCTGCCGTCAGAACGCAGTACCTGACACCCGACTTGGATAGGGAAAAGTTTATTTTGGATTGCATTTGGCCAGCTTCAAGGTGGGAGCGGTGTCAGAAGGGGTGGCAGCCAGGAAGTGGAGAGGGAAGGGAGCAGCCGAGAGGGAGATGGGTCCTGCCGACTGCGGCCAGGCCCCGGGACCACCTCTGCCAGACCCACTCCTGCGCGCGAGGCGGTGTAGCCCACAGGCCAACCTGCTTGGAGAGCCCCTCCTGACACAGGAGGCTCCTGGGCAGCTGGGCCCAGGCCTACACGTGCCTCCGACAGCCTGAGAGGCGCTCGGCGAGGGGCAGAGGTCCCGTGTGGCCAGGGCAGCACGGTGGCAGGAGCTGCCGCGGGCTGCCGTGGGTCGCGGTGTGAGCTCCAGGACTCCAGCGCAGCAGGCGCGCGTCCTGCCTCCCGACTGTGGTCCCTGCCTTGCCGCTCACGTTCCACCCGTGCGGCGGTGCCGGCCGAGGCGGGCGCTGCAGCCGTGAGGTGTGAGGTGTGGAGCCGAGGCCGGCACATTCAAAGCGCCGGGCACGCGCCTGGCGCAAGGTGGCCTTCCCAAGGCCGAGATGCCTGCCCGGGTCGGACAAGGGCACAGATGCGGGAGGAAGGCGGGAGCCGCTCAAGGACACTGGGTGAAGGGGTGGACTTAAACGGGGGCTCCCGAGCCTCGCCCCAAACCCCATGGCTGCAAGTGTGGACAGAGTCGCAAAGAAGAGCGGGATGCGGCTCGCGGGGCGCCGAGTGCCAGACCCGCCAATGTTTTCTGTCCCCATCATGAAGTAACGGGCTGGGCGTGGATAGAGGACAGCTCTCCGCTGCTCACCGACTGCAGCCTGAAGCCCAGACCTGAGCAGCCGGCCCCGCCTGGCCTCTGGAGGGCACACCTCGGTGGATGGCGCTGCGAGCTAGTGCGCACGCAGAGGCCCAGGCCGTGCGCGCTGAACGCCGCGTCACTGCATGCCCCAGAGATGGCAGTGTGAGCAGAGGGGAGCCCAGGGAGGTCGGGCCTCGCGGGCGTCCCCAGGTCGCAAGAGCAGCTGCCCTTGGAAAGGATCGGCCGTTCTCAGGACCCCTGAGCTGGTGATTGCAGGAGGCTAAGGAAAGGGCAGGCCCACCCCAGTTCTCAAGGCTCCCCTGGCCTGCAGTAGATTCCTCGCATGGATGCCCTTCTCCTGTGACATGGTACATCCTCTGCGACATAACCGGGGACATGAGCATCTGCTTTGGGACCTCCAGGACTGGGCGGAGGAAGCCCCGCTAGAGCCCAGCCTCACTGTGGTGGTCGTCCTGGGCTGAGAATGACAGAAGCTCGTGGTGAGATGGAGCCCCGGGCTGCTGTTCCCACAGCTCCTGTCATGGGGGCACACTGAGCCCCATCCCCGTGGGGGTGGTGCCCCTGCCTCCAGCACCTCAGGGAGACCTCAGGCCTTCGCAGGAGCGCCCTGAGCATCCCCCATGCTCCTCCACTCCGGGTGAACTTCATGGCCCCTGGCCTCCACCTATCCAGCCGTGCCCTAACAAGGTTGTTGGCCTGCACTAGAGCCACAGAGGAGAATCAAGTTTTCAAAGTAAAGTGTCCTCTTTTCCACCTGCTCAGGACAGAGTGCAGGAAGGAGCACGCTTGAGACAGATCTGATCCTAGTGGTCTGTAAAGCCCAACCCTGCCCATCTCCCTGCTGACCCTGTCTTTCTGTTGCCTTCAGATTTCAGATATCGAGAGCCGGATTTCAGCCCTCACCATCGCAGGCTTGAACATAGCACCTTGTGTGCGGCTCAGGAGGAAGCGGGACCAGAGGTACGGAAACCAGGTGAGTGGTCCCTCAATCCCTAGGAGGCCCGGGCTGGAGAGCCACAGGACAAAGGACAAAGGACCAAGTCTCTGGCTCACAGGTGCACTGACTGCTGTGTCATTCGCAGGTGCAAACCATAGACACCTCCAGGCAGCAGAGGAGGAAGCTACCTGCTCCACCCGTGAGAGGTGAGCGCCAGTGCGACCCACTGCAGGCCACCAGAGCTAGGCCCGAACCACCGAGGTGGGGTGCCAGAGCTCTGAGCATGGAGAGCAGCCTGAAGGGGAGTCCACACCCAGAGCTGTCCTTGCTCATCTTGGCTGGGGACCCTAGCAAGAAGCCCTGGGACAAGGGCTGGAGTGCCCAGGGATGGCTTGGGAGGCAACTGGGAGGGGAGAGAAATGACCTGGGGGAGGACAGACAAGTACAGAGTCTTTCACTCAGGATTCTGCTCTGGGAAGCAAAAACCCGGGGAACCCCTGGGAGACACCTTGACTGCATCTCAGGGTTTCCCCGATGCAGGCTGGGAGGCCAGGTGTTTGAGCTTCAGCTGCACCCAGCTCTGGCTAGGGTCACTGCCTGAACCTTCTCACCCTGTTGGAGAGGCCAGGGACAGGAGGACAAGATGCCAGACAGGGTCTGCTTTAATCAGAGGATACTGTCAACAATGTCCTTGGCTCAGGAGCCACATGATGATGACACCAGACTTGAGAATTAGATTGCCAACCAGGCACATAGTGAGTCATAGGATGCAGTTGGAGCCTTGGTTTTGCCGTGTGGCGTTCGGTAAAAATTTACTGAGTGCTTGTAGTCTCCAGACCCCTGTCCATACAGTCTTTGCTCCGAAACCCTCAGGTCACATGGGATCCACCATGATCAGGCATGGTGCAGGTGACATGGATGGTGTGCCCCCAGGCACACCTGGGGCGGGGGGTCTGGGCCACTCTGGTCATCAAGCATGAGCACGCTTGCGCAGCCGTGAACGTCCACCCTGCCGTGATGGGCGGTGACTTCATGGGCCACAGACCATCCGGATCAGGGTTTGCAATCAGAGAATTTAGCGCCAAAGCTATAAAAACACAGACTTGGGCCCTTTTGTATTTCAAGATTGCAAGTAAGAATTGAAAGACTCTGAGCTGCCTTTTCCAGGAAGGCTACCAACTGTGCCTTATATATCTGATCCATCATAAAAATAAGTGCAAAATTAAAGAATCTTCAGTCAGCCTATGAAAAGAGCAGCATAGCACGGCGGTCAGCCGTGTGCGCACCAGCCCCCTGGTCTACGTCCCCCCTAACTGGTCTCTATTCCAGGTAATGCTGATTCCAATGTCTCCTTTTAGTTGAAAACGTTGAAGCCTCTTCGGTGACCACCGTTAAAACATTTAACCGCAACTTCCTTCTCCAAGGCCCCTCGGCAAGCAGGCCCACAGAGAGCGGCCCGCGGGATCTGATGGTAAGGCCCCCTCTGTGCTCCGCTCTTGCCGGTGCCTCGAGGGCTCGCAGCTCTTCCTCTGTGGTCCCAGCAGCAGCCCAAGGAGCACCCTCCCCATGGGGCTCAGGTCTGCAGGGTATGGGCGGCCGGGCCAGCCAGGGCACAGGGAGCCAGTGTGGTGGTGGTGGCCTAACAGGTGGGTGTAGCCTCTATTTCCAGCTCCTCGTAGAAACCAGGTTTGAGAAATGAGAACCAAGAACTATGCACACAGAAGGTAAGGTCTGCTTGAGGTGTGAGTTGTTAACCTGTCTTCGGTCCATATTCACCTTCCGAAATTTCTTGTTAGCCAATTATCCGCCTTCCTGAAAGGGGCAGCAACTGCCACTCAGTGAGGTGAAGGGAGAGGCAGCAGGTGACTCGCAACTCGGGGCAGGTGCCGGAGTGCACTGCCTTGGGCCTCTCAGGAGAAGGGGCAGGAGCCGGCCCCCACATGGGCAGTCACAAGCAGGCAGTGAGGTCACAAGAAGCCTCAAATGGGAAGACACACAGTATGTGCCAAGCACAAGCAACAAACAAGAAAGAGCAGGAACACCTCTGTCAAATAACACAGGACTCCAGACAGACAGCACTCAGGGAAAGCCTGAGCCTTTTCATCCTGAACCAGGCAAGCCAAGCTCCTGGCTGACCCAGCCCTGGTGGGACGGCACCATTTACTGTGTGACTTTGAACACCTTTCAGCTTTCAGCAGCGCAAATGCACCAGGAACAAGTGCCAGTTACAGAACTGAGCAGTGCAATTATTAAACCTTGATTAAAATGTCTGACTACACTTTACAGATGATCCACTTTCTAAGCATCAGTGGACCCTATAAAACTTGATTTTATACTGGCTTGCACAGGAAAGCTCGATGCATTAAACGTATCCATGGTAGAGCTCTTTTCTGGGACCACAGTGCTGAAGGGGACCAACATGCGCAGTGGCTCAGGAGGTGCTCTCTGTCGCCCGCAGGAGCCGGCCCTGGAGACTGCTGGGATGTACTGACACCGTGGAGCACACTGCCAGTGACCACTGCCCGGCCCACACGACAGTGCCTTGACCAACAGCCGTGAGCCCTCACAGGTCCACCCAGGGAGGCCCAGGAGGCCGTAGTAAGGCAACACAGGGTTGCAAGCCCTCGCCCAAGGCTGCCGTGGACCCAGCCACTGCCTGCTGCTCAGCCCCAGGCCCTGGCCTCCACTGTGCTCTCTGCTGGAGAGACGTCCTCCACTGTCCGCTTTGCTCTGTGTTGTCTTTGAGATCTTCTTCCCCTTGTCCTTCAGTTCAGTAGAATTCTGTGTCCTTGACTGTCCTATGAAAAGTTGTTGGAGGGGATAAAGGTGGGCATTGTCCCTTGACTCATTGCCAGTGCTTACTCACCTGCCACAGACAGCGTGGTCCAACAAATGTCAGGGCAAGTGAGGGGCTCCAGTGGGGAACCCAGAGCCAGGAGACATGCAGCCATGTGCTGTGACAGCGTGGCCTCCCAGCCACCTCCCTGGAGGCTGTGAGTGCCACAGGGCTTGCTAAGCTGCTCCCAGTTATAGCTGAGAGCAATGGCCTGACTTGCCCCCATGCCTGCCGTGGATCCAGAACGTGTTCTGCTGAGATTTGGGTTCTTCCAGGACCTCGGGACATAGCTCACAGACAGTGCCATTAGCCCATCCCTAGTGCCCTGTCCGGGTCACCACAGCACAGTGGGTGTAGCCCTGGCCATACCCAAAAGAGGTCAGGTAAACGACACAGAACCAACATGAGAACAGTTTGTCCTCCCAAATTTATGTCCCAGTTAATGTTCAGAAAGGTAACAAAATGATCTTCAAGACAAAAATAGGTGAAGGAACAATACCTCTTGAGAAACATTGTTAGGGAGAAAAAAGGACCCTGTGAATGCAACAGGCCCATGGAGGGACAGTGTGGTCTGTCTGCACTGGCTCAGATGCATGCGGACATGGTGCATTCTCCCGAGCAAATGGAATTGCACTCAATTAGCTGGGTGCTGGCAAGTTTTCAACGCTTGCTCCTGCCATACAGTGGCTCTAGAGAAGGCAGAGAAGGGCGAAGGAGCAGGGAGCCAGTGCTGACCCGGCGCAGTGGGCAGGAGGCAGCGTTCTCGCTTTGACCCTTAACCCTCTGTAGCAGGTAAACCCACTTCTCAGATCTGAAAACAGAAGCCCAAGGAGGCCAGTTTTTCTCAGTGTCACAGCTATGGGCTCAGTAGCTGGAATGCCTCACAACAAGGCACAAAGCCTGGCTCTTTTTCACACTCTGTTCTTTTGCCCCGCGGTGTGTCCCCAGACCTGAGCTGCTGCTGGTGCCAATGTTCACCTCACCAGGCCTGCCGTCCGCTGAGAACGATTCATGTCCATGCTGCGTGTGCTGTGGCCGAGGGGCCTCTTTGAACACGTAGACTTTCAGCTCTTTGTTCCATTGCTGTGGTTCAAAGCAAAGCAAAGCAAAACAAGATACTAATTTTTAAAACACAACAACAAAAAAACCCCACAACAACAACAAGAAAAGATCTGACTTCCAAAAAGAACATTTTCTTTAAGAGGCATGAAAATCAACTCTTGTTGTGTTACAGTGTTAAAATACTCAGTTTTCTTGACAAAAAAAAAGTGTACTATGTAAGCCTTGCAAAAAAGAAAAAAGAAGCCTGCTCTATGGCATTTGAATTTTTATAAAGGTTTCCTTGTGCCAAATAAGTGCAAAGATTTAATTTACTATTTAAAAACCATAAACATATGTTATAGTTCCAGAAGAATTATTTTGTCATCAAGTGATTTTGATCTTTAGTGTCAATATTTATATTCAGATTAATTTTTATAAATGAAACTATTTTAGAGGTTTAAGAAAATAAGGAGGGAACAACCTCTGATGCCTTCCTAGAGTCATGCTTGCCTCCACATCATGCACACTGTCAGCGGAAATGATGAAGAAGTCAAGTCACTCATGAGAACAATGCACGTGGAGCTCTGTTGCCTAGGAGGGTGGGAGCAGGAGGACGCACTGATGCGCCCTCCTTGTGGCGCTGCTCCGACATCCACGTCCCTGGCCTCCCCACCTCCCTGGGTCTCCACTGCGCTGCTGGCTTCACACTCATTCCATGCTCTTCCCTCTGAGCAGCATTCTTCTGGCTTCCCAGGACTTCTGAAACCCAAGTAAAAGCCTTTTTAATCCCAAAACACTTGTATTCTGGATTCCTATAAGACCAGCACCGCATGGATGATACTGAGGTCTGCTGCAACTGGAGCAGCAGCCAGGCCCCCTTGAATGATAGCATAAAGCCTGTGCATGCCTGAATGGATGAGCACTGCGAACAGGATCACCCTGGGGAACAAATTCCCTAGAGAGTTCTGGAGCACAGTGCCCTGGGACTGTCTTCTCCAAGCAATCATTCACTTTTTGGGGATGTTTGCTTTTGATTCTCAACAGAACTTGCTAAAATCCCAAGCAATAGCTATGCCACAGTCTCAACACTGGGCCGCTTTGAAATTTCCTCTGCCAAATTAGCTGCCTGCCACCCTTGATCTCAGTCCCCAACAAAGTCACAGGATAGGAGCAAAATATAGACAAATTTTCTGACATAACATAACACATATAACCTGCCAGTGGAGTCCTTCACCCAACTTAAACTTGAGCCTGGCCTTTACTGTCTGCATATCTATAAGCACTCTGATTTTCTGAGCTCCAACAACATTCCACTTTGGAGCTCTGTTTACAACATTCTAGTGCTTCTCCGGTACACATCTCCAAACCTTCCCAAACTCCTACCACAAACCAGTCCCAAAGCCACCTAAGCTACATGGACAGGTAACATACAGCAACACCCCCACTTCTGGTACCAAATCTTTCTTCATCATCATGAAAGGTAAACTCTTTGAATTCAGGACATTAGTGTTGGCAGGACAGCAGAACTAAAGACACTCATGGCAGAGGACTTCTAGAAGAGCTTCAGAAAATGACAATAATGATGGGATAAATCTGTTTCAAGTGAGGGGAGAATTTTGAGGAAGATTAATAGGGATATGCCCTTTACTATTGTTTTGGTTACTTTTCTTTCATTGCTGAGATAAAATACCTGACACCCAGAATTAATGGAAGAGAGTTTTATTTAGCTCAGTCTGTGGCGGTTTCAGGCCCTAGTCAGCTGGCTCCGCGGCAGAGGGGCACATGGGGGTGGCAGCAGCTCATGGCCGCAGAAAGCAGCAATAGCAAAAAGGGAGAAAAGCAGAAAGTAGCCCTCTTGCGTATTGCATAGGGTGGAGGTAGCACCCAACTCAATCTCATCACTGGAGCATGAGTTAATCGAAAACTCTAGAAGCCAACCGAAGGAATGCATGATATTTCACCCCTGGCTCCCCAAGATTCGTATACATCCCTTTATGAAAAAGGTATTTTAGTCCACCTCTAAGAGTTACCAGAGTCCTAACAGTTTCAGCAGTGCCGAGAAGTCCAAGTCCTCTCCAAGATCAAAGGTAAACTCTTAGCTGTGAAACCTTGTACAAATAAAAAGTCCAACACTTCCAACATTCATTGGCACAAGATAAATACCATTCCAAAAGGTATAAACAAAAGGATACAAAGCAACGGGACCAACACAAGTCCAAAATATGGCAGAACTAGCATTAAGTCCTGTAGTTCCATGTGGAACGTCTTAGGCAATCTGTGGTAAATTGTAAGCTTGAGAGGGCTTGTGGGGCTCTGTCCCCGTGGCCCTTCCAGTGCTTATAGTTTTCAAGGCTTCTGTCTTAGGCTTGCTCTGCTCAATCCTCACAGCTTTCCTTAGATGATTCATATTCCTGGTTTTCTCAAACTTCTGAGGTCTTCACTGCACCTTTCCTTTCACCCTCATAGCTTCACACACTGCCCTATCAGGGGGACACACTGCCTTGTGGAAGCTTTTTTTATCTCGTAACTTAAATTCTTTTTTTTTTTTTTTTTTTTTTTTTTTTTTTTTTTTTTTTTTTTGTTTTTTGTGGCACCATGGATTGAACTCAGGACCTTGTGCTTGCCAGGCAAGCACTTATTCCACTGAGTTATCTCCCCAGCCCCTCCATAACTTAAATTCTGCATGCACCTAAAACCAGCACCATGTGGATGAAGCCAAGGTCTGCTGCCAGCTGGAAGAGCAGCCAGGCTTTCTTCTCTCTTGGCTGCACTGTCAGGAGCCTAGATTGCTGAGCACTCTGACCTTGATTCTGAGGAATAAATTCCCTATGCCACTATCACTTTAGAACCTGATATGGCTGCTAACACAATTCTGGAACATAGTGTGGCTGCCACCATTCTGGACCATGGTGCTCTACAGCTCAGTCTCAGGCAAGGTCTCTGGACATGAGAAAAATGCAGACAAATTTTCTGTCAAGCCAGAACATGCATCATGTGGACTCCAGCACAAATTCTAATCCTTCTTCCCAGAAGAAACCTCCCTGTCTGGTGCTTGGCTTATGGGAGTGAGGGCTGCACCTGCTCTAGGACGGGCAGCCTGCGTGTGACATGAGGGAGGGAAAGAGTCTTCTCTCTCTCCCCTCCCTTTTGTTGGTCTTCATCAGCAGGATTTCTGTTGGCCTTCTGGTCTTGTGGCCGGGATCTCCCACAGAACAGCCTGACACATTCCAGCTCTACTCTTTCAGGCAATATCTCTGCACCTCTGCAAGCTCTTCCCGTAGGTCATCCTAAAGACTCTTGGACCACATGGTCAGGTGGAGCCATAACAATGACCCCACTTCTCTGGTACCAAATTCTGTTTTGGATACTTGTCTCTCATTACTGAGACAAAAACACCTGACACCCAGAATTAAGGAAGAAAAGGTTTATTAGTTCACAGTCTGTCGAGGCTTCAGGCCATACTCAGCTGGCCCCAAGGCAGGTGGCACCTGGGAGAGGGCAGCCGTTCATGGCTGTGCAAGACAATGAGAATAAGAGCAGAAAGGGGAGAGAGAGAAGACTCTCCCTTCCTCGCAGTGCACGCAGGCTGCCCACCCTAGAGCGGGTGCAGCGCTCACACCCATTGGCCCCCCACCAGACAGTGAACCAGCCACAAACTCTAAGCTCACCTGCCCCATGACTGCATGGGGCTTGGGCAGGGGCACGTAGACACAAACCAGACAACTGCAATACAGCTTTCAAAAGTTCTGAATAAGCTTCTGTATCTTTATCATACTTTGCTTACCAGAAAAATTGAGGCCTGGGATGGAACTGGTGAGCAGCACAATCCCCTCCTGAGCCAGCCCCGCCGAGGACACTGTAAGGCTCCTCACAAGTGGTGACAATGCCTGAATTACTAAACCCACAGTAACAGTGCAGTTCTCCCACTCTTGACATGAGAACAAGTCCTCCGCGGTGATTCTCCAGCCCTCCTCTGTACATTGGCTGCCGCCCAGCTGCCTCTACTATATTCAGAATTCAGGTCAGCTGTAAGCTGGTCTCTCTCCTCTATAGCCTGAGTCAAATCTGTCTTGCATGAGGCCAGCCAAAACCCTCACCTGCCACTCTGATGAAGAGGACCAAAGGGACCAAGGCCCAGACAACATGCATAGGCAAATTCAATTATTCTGTTTTAACTTCTTTCTCTGGAAAACCCTCCTGAAGGTCTATAGCCATGATCAGGATCAAGGAGACCCTAATCAGAGCTGCTTTATACCTGCTCTGAATTGTCACTGAAGGTCAAATGTTCACCCGTGAGTTCTTCATTGTCCCACAGTGTCTTACTCCTTCACTAGGAAGAGATTTACTAGTAAAATAAAGGGAAATTCTCCAATTCTGGCAATCGCTTGAGGGATAAAGCCCTATCTCTGAATGGGGTGGGGGTGGGCCATGGACAAAGACAAGGTTTGGGGAGCAGGCTTGTCTGTCACATGCTTGTGTTTGATGCTCAGGAAACCAGACCCACAGCAGTATGCATCCACAAGCATATGTGGGCTTACTGGTGGATGTACTGCTCCTAGATACCCTGCTGGGCCCTTTATAGCAGGTGATCAAGAGGGGCACAACATGGGGCTGCATGGACCCAGCAGACGCTGCTTGCTGGACAGGAAGAGGGCTGCCACACAGGCATGGGGCTGCATGGGGCCACACTCTGAATAGAGACCTTAGTTCTCTGGAAAGGTCAAAAGGGCCAATCATACTCTGGCAAAAGTTGCCTACAGTTTTCTGATCTGGGCTCGATATTGCCAGTTCCCCTCATGAACTCAAAATTAGGCTCAAAGTCCATTCAGGATGTTATATGGTGGCCTTTTCTACCTTAAAACCAAAGTGGCTGGGCCCCTGTCCAGTGATCTTGCTGCACTGACTGCAGTAAAGGTGGCAGAGATAGATAGCTAGTTTAAGACTACCCCTGCCTCAGTTGTCTGGGGGAGAAACACTGCCCAAAAGAAGAAAGCTACTCCTGTGAGCCTCTGGAAGACCTGGGGATCCTCTTGAAACAGCAAAATCCCACTGCTGCTCCAGATGCAGATAATTAGAGTAACAATGACCCCTCATCCCCAAGAGCTTCACAGAGCATTCTTTGAGACTTCTGTTTGTTATTAGAACCATGATGTGAGGGGCTGGGGAAATGGCTCAGTAGGATAAGTGCTTGACTGGCAAACGCAAGGATCTGAGTTCAATCCCCGGT